AAAAAAAAAAAACGAACCTTAAAACAAGCAAAGGAAAGTAGTCGCGAGTTGCAACCAGTGGAAATTATCTGATCTGAATTTACATAGTGAATTTGGTTGAAACTTAATAACACAAAATAGTAATAATAATATCAAGAATCGAAAGAAAAAAGTAAAGTGTGTGTTCAAATAATTTATTTTATTTTTTTTTTTCGATTTACATATATATTTTCATCAACGCAAGTTGCAATCAATTGCATTATAAAGTTCGTTGAGTATTTCTTAACTTATTTCAATGACAGAAGGTATTTACTATAATTTAATTAAAATATTTTATTCAATATCATTATGTGTGTGTGTGTTTTTAAGGCTAGTTTCTTGCATTAAGATTTATTCACCTTCACTATTCACTTATATTATATATATAAAATGTAACTTTATTCGATTTCTTAGTTTTTTTTTTAGAAATAATAAGACCTTTATAAGTTAATTAAATTTAACTGTAAGCTTAGCTTGGTTTTACTTGTCACTTGAATTTTCCGCAAAATTGTTTGATGCCTAAAACTTGGCCATTTAATATTCAATTTATGTTTTTTTTTTATTTTACATTTACAGAATATTTTCCACATAAATACATTCATACATATTTGATGCCATATCACAAATGAATCTCACGCTCCTGAAGTTCCGTTTTAGGCGTTTAACGTTGACAATTCTTAAGTGATGATTTTCTTTTTCGAATATTTGCAACGCTAGTGTATTTTTAATTTATAGGTTTAATTTCGAAAATTGTATTATGTTTATTTTCTTTGAACATTTTTAGCAGTAAGTTTATAATTTTTACTCTTTTTTTAGCATTAAATCTTATTTAAAATGGTATTAAGTTTAAATACATATATATATATATATATTCTAGCCCAATGGTGATTTGTAAACTACTTGCTGATTGCTGCTTAAGGAAATATTTATTCATTAGTTGTAGTGAGTATAAATCGCTTATTTTTTAGAGATAATTAAGTATAATAATTAAATTAATTTGATTGCATGAACTGTCTGCTATGCGGGTTTTCATGAGAACTCTCTATTATGTCGTTGCAAGTAGAGTTAAAATTCATCTGTAATATTATAAATTGTCAAACCCTTTTGTTCTGACATCATCGTAGCCGTCATTTAGAAGTACCCATAGTTTCATATTGCATGAGTTAATAGTTTTTTTTTTACTTTAATACTTATTTATGCATGTACGTATGTACTAAATATCATAGGTATATGTCTCCTAAATTTAAATTATACTAATTTCTATTTGCTTATCTTTTGTTGGGGCGTTTCCATCTCAGACTTGCTCCGCTTCAATTTCGCGACTGTCTCTGCATTGAGAGAAAACGCTCTTGGCCTTAATTTTATGGAATGTGTGGTTGCCACGTAAATTTTTCGATTTTTTTTTTTTGTTTTTTTTAAGTGCAGTTTTGTAATTTGAATGCGTTGGTAGGATAAACAATTTATAATAATTCAAATTAATTTAATTTAATGTCGTAAAAATTATAATATAAATAATTTCACTAAAAGTTAAAGTTCTATAAAAAAGCATTTTCCAGTTATTCACGTATAAGTCTTGAAAAGCTCTTGCACGGATTGCACGGTTTGCACTGCTGTCCCATAGGAAAACCGGTTTTTAACATGCAATCCGTACACCCTGCAAGGTCTTTTCCGAGACTTCGAGAAGACCCCTATTGAAAGGAAGTCGGAAACGAGCAGTAACCAAACATAAATTAGCCTACACTATTAAAAAATAAATCGCTCAAATTTGATAATTAAAAACTCAAGGACAATAAATGAAAGTCACAACTTAAAATAACAACAACCAAGAGAGTTACTTAAATACCTACACCTACATACATTTACATACAAATAAATTAAGTTTAATGCAAAGCTTAAAATTAAAACCAGTGGCATTTTTTGGGTCTCTTTTTTCACTGTTCTTTTTTGCACAAAGTACTGCATCACCAATTGTTTTTTTAGACTTCTAGTCAAGGAGGAGGAAGTGGGGAGGGAGGGTTTTAATTTCTAGCTGCCTGACACGGCTAATCGTTTAGCTGCTTATTTACGGTTTTTGCTGTTGTATTTTGTTGCGTCTTTTAGCAATAGTTGTTGTTGTGTGTATTGTAGCACAAAGCATCTTACTTTCCAAATATGTTGCAATCTCTGTGAAATCCTTATTGAAGGCCACCATCATGGGTGTATTGCCGCAAAGGTCGCTTGCCTGTAGATTGGCACCCGCAGCCACCAGCATCACACAAAGGTCGCGACGATTGTTTTCGGCAGCAACATGCAGAGCTGTTTGTCCCCTATAATGGGAGATGGAGAATGAGAGAAGCTAGGTTAGAAAAGATAAAGAAATAGTAAAATAAATTGAATGAATGAATTAAATGAGAAGAAAGGCGACAATGAAAGCTAGTCTGGAGCAGTGCTTTATGGTCTACAAAGTGAGGCTATGTCAAGATTATTATTACTGCTGACGCAAGTCTTCCCTGCCAGTCCCTAAAAATCTGGTCCGACTTCGGTTGGCTGGTAGAATAAGAAGCTTGAAAAAGTTGAGTACAGTACGAATATAGACAATTGTCAATCGACAAGTTATGATTTTTCTAAAGATTTTTCCAAAATCACTTCGAAAATTTCAATCAGTTGGATTAGCTTCACTATGAGGTTTCAATAGTTCGTCCAGTTGCAATCTTTATAAAAGGAGCCATAACTTCATATTTTTTTATTGTTTTTAAAGAATTGTACCTAGAATTTTAGCAAAAAATGTGGAAAAAATAATAAAAATTGTGTAAACTTCAGATTTATTCTAAAATTTTCAACATATTTGCAATGTTTTGTAAGCACGTTACTTTCGAAATCATGCGAAAATAGTTTTTTAAGAATATGTTAAGAATTTTAGGGTGTTAGAAAAATTTTAAAACGCGTTTCGTTATTTAAAAATTTCGTGCGTTTTCTTATTATTTTTTAATTTTCAACGCAAGTTCTTCCATACAAAGTATGTATATTCGACAATTATTTTTTGTATGGAGAAAATCAGCAACACCTTTCGCTAACAAAATTGCCAAAAATCAATGCGATTTTCTGGCAACTTTAAACTTGCATTTTGTCGTACTAAAATTGAATGGACTATAAAACTGCATACTTAGAATTTTTCTAAAAAATCTGAATAAAAAGTTGCAAATTAGTGTGCAAATTTAATGAATTTTCGCGAGTTTTGCACAAAGTTTTGAGATTTTATTTTTATGTTTTTCCGTGTAATATGATCGATATTTGTATAAAAAAATTATCGAAAATAAATTAGAATAAAAAACTTTGCATATATTGCGAAATATTTACTGTGCCAATACTTTTGTTCGTCACGGTATATAATTTTTTTTAAACAAAGATGGCTGTTTGGAGGAGATTCTCTTAATTTTGGATGCGTCATGGTGTGGTATCATTAATAATTTTGGGAAAAATAACTTATTCATTCCGGGTAGTTCATTTATGTGTTAAACAAGTTTTTCCTCTCCAAAAGTATTCATTGGGGGGCAATGTCCCAGACACCAAAAAAAACACCAAATAGACCACCAATGGCAAATACTTCTCGTACTTCTGTGAATATTTTTTCTCTATGAGAGCGAATGCTGCTGGAGAATACAATTTTCGCGTTTCCAAAAATATTGTTATGCACGATCCCCGTGAAGAATAGGGTTTTGATTATGGGTTCACAGGATATGTTTTCATGATTGTAGAGGCAGACTGTGATTATGTATAAAAATTACGTTTAACTATCCTTTCGACGAAGAAAATATCTGTGCAGCCACTTACCTATCCTTGTCTGCCAAGTTGATCAGACGCCGTGAAGCGCACGATATTATATATCTGACAATGTCTTTGTGGTCGTATTTGCAGGCGAAATGCAGTGCTGTCTGTCCGTTTTTGTTTACTGATTGTAGTGAGTATCCTTGTTCATGTAGTGCACGTAACTGCAAAAGATTTAATTGCATACTTGCTGTTAGAAATATGTAAATTTTGCATTTAAAAAACGTGGGATGACAATTAAAAGTAAAATCTCAAAAAATACAGTTAAAAATATTGGTGCCTTAAAAATGTAGTTTCGACAATAATCGACTGTGAGTCGGATGCTTGATGATACTTTTTAGACGAGTGCGTGCAATAAATAGAGTTTGTTCATTCGCAATTTTATTTACACTGATCGAATTCGTTGCGTTAATGAAATGAAAACAACAAATTAACATTAAACAAAAAAAAAAAGCAACAAATACGATTTTTATCACACATGAGAGTCGCTTATGCGTACATACAGTATCGGTCATATCTATAGCACGCCATTTCAAATTGATATTGTGTGCCACTTATGTTTATTTATTTATTTTTACGAATTTCAATTAAATTTTCAAGTTTAACAATTTGTAGAAAACTTCAAAAAAGTGCAACAAAATTTCACTCGAATTTCAAACTTTTTTCTCGGAAGTGTTAGAATTTTTTTGAGTACACAGTTTTTTAGCCCCTTCAATTTTAGTCTGATAATGTGCAAATTTGAAATGGCTACGAATTACCATTTATTTTTTTGTGTAGCATTGGCTTCCATATAATGAATAAACTCAGCTTATTTGTATATGGAAGAAAACCGCAACACCTTTGGCGAAAAAAATTTTAAAAAATCGACGGTAACCTTTAGCCACTTGAAACTTGCATATTATCAGACTAAAATTGATTGGGCTATAAAACTGTGTATTCAGAAAAATTCTAACACTTCCGTGAAAAAAGTTTGAAATTTATATGAAAATTTGTTGCACTTTTTTGTAGTATTCTACAAATTGTTAAACTTGGGTTTATATGGGTTTTGTTAGAGAAAGAACTATATTTTAATTGAAAATTCTTAAAAATAAATAAATAGACATAAGTGGCACACAATATCACTTTGAAATGGCGTGCTATAGATATGACCGATACTGTATGTATGTATGTATGTATGTTAG